TCAAGATGGCATCGTCTTCGTTACTTGAAGAATGGACGTTATCAGACATGGTGCGGCTGAACTCAATTCAAATCTAACAATGTCTTGATTTGACCGCTTATGAAAAAATTCACGAATTGTTGATTGATGCACCAATCATCTTGCGACAGTTTGACCTTCAAGTGCTCGCAACCACCGTCGACGGACGATACCCCTGGAGCGCAGCCGAAGCGTGTGGCTCACACACAAGTGTCTAATAAGTGTGTTTGGTTCTGTCCAACCATTATTGTCTTCTGAGCAGTAGCTGTGAATTGTTAAACCAGTTGTTAATTAATAATGATATTAGGTTGAGCATAATGTACTAGGTAAATTAGTTGTGTGACCAACAACTACCTGATAGTTTAGTTATTATACTAGTACAGTATGATAGTAACTAAATTCGGTGGCTTTATTATGTAAACTATCTTCATATTTTTATGCAAATGATACACCGATTCATAAACCCAAATACATATAGCAATGACGGCTATGATGAGTTTAGTGAAAAACGTTAAAGGCGATTCAAATGATTGTTAAATTTAAAATACATAGAGGTATAGTGCAACTCATATACAGGTCAGGTTAACATGGTGGTTGGTTAAGAATATAACAGTTTAAAAATACTAAACTTGGCCAAAAAAGTTTTTAAAAGTTGAGACGACTTATGGAACTATAGTTAGGAATACGACGAATTACGATATAGACTTTTCATAAGAAGTTACTGTAGTTGGTTTGTGACGTTTATAAACTTGTGGCAGAGGTAATTGGGACTAAGGAGTATCAAATAATTTTTGAATCTAATACGTCTCGTCTGTAAACACACTTTTTCATAGTAGTATAAAGCTATTAAATATGTCTTATACCAAAAACGTTTCGGGAGTACTTACTTACTTACGCCTGTTACTCCTCGTGAAGGAGCATAGGCCACTCACCAGCATTCTCCATCCAACCCTGTCCTGGGCAATCCTTTCTAGCTCCGTCCAGTTGTAATTCATCCTTTTCATATCTGCTTCTATAATCCGACGCAATGTGTTCTTTGGCCTTCCTCTTTTTCGCTTCCCTTCAGGGTTCCAAGTTAGGGCTTGCCTCGTGATGCAGTTTGACGATTTGCGTAATGTATGTCCTATCCATTTCCATCGTCTTTTCCTAATTTCTTCTTCAGCTGGAAGTTGGTTTGTTCTCTCCCACAGAAGGCTATTGCTGATGGTATCCGGCCAGTGGATGTTGAGTATCTTGCGTAGGCAGCTATTTATAAATACTTGTACTTTCTTGATTGTGGTTGTTGTAGTTCTCCAAGTTTCAGCTCCATACAGTAGAACTGCCTTGACGTTCGTATTGAAGATTCTCACTTTGATATTGGTTGAAAGTTGTTTTGAGTTCCATATGTTCTTCAATTGTAGGAATGCGACCCTTGCTTTGCCGATCCTCGCCTTTACGTCTGCATCTGAACCTCCTTGTTCATCGATGATGCTTCCTAGGTATGTGAAGGACTCTACATCTTCCAGAGTTTCGCCATCAAGAGTGATTGGATTGCTGTTCTCCGCTTGAATTTGAGGACCTTGGTTTTCCCTTTGTGTATGCTGAGGCCTACTGATGCAGAGACTGCTGCTACACTGGCTGTCTTCATCTGCATCTGTTCGTGTGTACGTGATAGGAGGGCTAGGTCGTCTGCGAAGTCCAAATCGTCTAATTGATTCTGAGCTGTCCATTGTATTCCGTGTTTTCCTTCAGATGTCGAGGTCTTCATAATCCAGTCGACCACCAGAAGAAAGAGGAAGGGAGAGAGTAAACAGCCTTGTCTGACTCCAGTCCTTACTTGGAATGCATCTGTCAGCTGTCCTCCATGCACTACTTTGCACTGTAGTCCGTCGTATGAGTTCCGGATAATGTTGACAATCTTCTCAGGAACTCCGTAGTGTCGAAGAAGTTTCCATAATGTCCTCCTATCTACACTGTCGAATGCCTTTTCATAATCAATGAAGTTGATGTATAGTGATGAGTTCCACTCAACTGATTGTTCGACGATGATCCGTAGTGTTGCAATTTGGTCTGTGCACGACCGATCCTTACGGAATCCAGCTTGTTGATCTCGAAGTTGGGCGTCTACTGCATCCTTCATCCGGTTCAGCAACACTCTGTTGAAGACTTTCCCTGGTATTGACAGTAGTGTAATGCCTCTGTAGTTTTCACATTTGCTCAGATCTCCTTTCTTTGGAATCTTGACGAGGTGTCCTTCTTTCCAGTCCATCGGCACTTGTTCCTCCTCCCAAATCTTTTTGAATAGAAGGTATAGCATGCTTGTGGTTGCTTCGATGTCTGATTTCAGTGCTTCAGCTGGTATGTTGTCGGGTCCTGCTGCTTTCCCGTTCTTGATTTGTCTGACGGCCATTCTAATTTCTTCCGTCGTTGGTGGGTTGACATCTATAGGAAGATCTATGTGTGCTGCTTCGATGTCCGGTGGATTCATTGGAGCCGGCCTATTCAGGAGTTCCTCGAAGTATTCCACCCATCTGTTACGCTGTTGTTGAATTTCGGTGATTGGCTTGCCTTCTTTGTCTTTGACCGGCCTCTCTGGTTTACTGTATTTCCCTGCTAGTTTCTTCGTTGTATCGTGAAGCTGTTTCATATTTCCTTCTCTAGCAGCTTTTTCTGCCGTCGTTGCTAGTTCTTCCACGTATTTCTTCTTGTCGGCTCTAATGCTCCTCTTCACTTGTTTGTTTGCTTCTATGTATTCAGCTTGTGCTTGGACTTTCTCTGCTCGTGTTCGGCTGTTGTTAATTGCTGCCTTCTTGTTCTTCCTTTCTTTGATCTTGTCCAGTGTTTCTATAGAGATCCATTCCTTATGATGGTGTTTCTTTAGGCCCAGAACCTCTTGACACGTTGAAGTTAATGCTTCCTTGATGCCTTTCCAGTTGTCCTCCATAGTAGTTTCTTCTTCATTCAGTAGATCTTGTAAGGCTTGGAACCTGTTGTTGAGAGCTATCTTGAATTCATTGAGTTTGTCAGTATCTCGAAGGAAGGCTGTATTGAACCTTTGTAGTGCTGTTTGTCCACTTGTCCAGTTCTTTTTTAGCTTCAGTTTTAAATTGGCTACAACTAGGTGGTGATCTGAAGCTACGTCAGCACCTCTCCTGGTTCTCACATCTTCCATTGTCCTTCGGAATTTTTTGTTGATGCAAATATGATCTATTTGGTTCTCTGTAGTGTGGTCCGGTGAGATCCATGTAGCCTTGTGTATACGCTTGTGTGGAAATATTGTGCCTCCTATGACCAATTTGTTGAATGCACACAAATTTGCAAATCTTTCTCCATTTTCGTTTCTTTCTCCCAGTCCATGTCGTCCCATAATATCTTCATATCCAGTGTTGTCTATTCCGACTTTGGCATTTAGATCTCCCATCAGAATAGTTAGGTCCTTTCTTCGGCATTTCTCAATGATTGACTGCAGCCGCTCGTAGAACTGATCTTTAATGTCGTCGTTGCTATCATTGGTGGGTGCATAACATTGGATAATATTCATTAAGATCCCCTCCTTCTTTGTTTTGAATGATGCTTTGATGATTCTGGATCCGTGAGACTCCCATCCTACAAGTGCATTTCGTGCTACTTTGGACAGCATAAGAGCGACTCCCTGAGTGTGTGGAGCATTGTCCTCTTCGTGACCGGAGTATAGCAGCATCTCTCCCGTAGCTAGCCTTTTCTGTCCAGCTTGGGTCCAGTGGGTTTCGCTGATTCCCAGTACTGCTAAGTTGTATCTCCTCATTTCCATTGCTATTTGACTGGTCTTCCCGGTTTCCCACATTGTTCGAACGTTCCATGTACCTATAAAAATTTTTGCTCTGGTTGTTAGAAGGGGCATCGGCCTCGTGGCTTCCGAAGGAACTCGGCTTTCACCATGAAGCGTCATAATTCTTCTAACTGAAGACCTTCTAACTCCCAGGGCAGAGTTTAAATGGTTTGAATAATTTTTTTCTGGTAAGCGTTTTTTTAGCGAGTTAGTTTTCTACGGGATGGGGACGCTAACCCCATGCCCAACCCTCCTCCTTTATCCGGGCTTGGGACCGGCAGTAACCCTGTTAGAGCTACAGGCGGAGTTGTTTCGGGAGTGGCTTGTATGAAATATATACGGCTAGACTAAGTGAAAGTATATACATGTTGAGTACAAAAACGGTTGGTGAGATTTCAGACTTCTACCAATTGAAATGGTTAGGATATGTGTAAGTTACCCCCAGCTTCCACTTATATCAACGTGCTGTACTGACTAGTGCAAGATTAAATCGAGAAACGACTAAAAATTATCAGTCGAAGCATTATTAGCCATCATTGACTTTTTCTGAAGCTTATTGAGAAGTTCAAATACTCCGATAACTGTCTGCTACTTGACTGTGATCAATGATAATGTTAAATAGAAACAATGATAACTAATATTTCCACGAAGGATATTACTTCACTGTATAACTTTGAATATGAAGCATCTTTAGCCTCATAAAACATTTACTGGTCAATGGTTTTAGTATTGCTAATTCTCGATCATCATTCGAAGTGTCTAGGTTTGTGTTTCTCGTAAGTTTGAGAAATTAATATCATGTAGTTTACAAGTGCATTGATTAAATCCAACAATTTGCAGGTTTATGGGCTCATACTGATAATGCTAATAACATTACTGATTTTCTCAGAGCGAAGTAATTAGAGTGAATCGAAATCTCTGGAATCCAGCAGTTGTTAGTCATTACTCTACAATGTCAAACACATCATGAATACAGATAGGACAATTGTTAGTCTGATTCGTATATTATAATTGTTGCAATTTGATGTTAGATTTGTAAGTAAATTTTATTTGGAACCTAATTCTAATTTTACAGTTTATATCTTATCAAGTTGATAAATATTTACTAAACCGAATTCTCCAATAATTTATTTTGTTCATGCGTTTCCCCCCCAGCTAATAGGTATTCCAATTCTTACAACGTTCAAGCCCGATTATGTGGTATGTTTAACTGTTCATAATTTTAAATTAAATAATTCTCTAGTTCTATTCATTCGTTCACATCAAATCAAATCGAGAAATTACGTGAATCTCTTTTACTTTGGTATGACAGATCCAAACGTGATTTGCCGTGGCGTCGAATGGTATGAATTTTAGTTGTTATCTATATTTCGAACTATTTTATTATATAGGCCTTGAATCCGGATCCCAATTTACGCGGTTACGCTGGTATGTTTAATCATTCTCTAGATTTTTTGTTTCATATTTTTTGTATGTGTTCAGTCTGGGTATCGGAAGTTATGCTTCAACAGACTCAAGTAAAAACAGTTATTGATTATTATGATCGATGGATGAAAGTTTGTTTGATAGTTTGATCCGTTTTTTAAATCATATATCTATCATTACAGAAATGGCCTAGTGTTGATCAACTAGCCTCGGCTTCGTTAGACGTATGTATATTAATTGGTCACCTACCTAGAGCTATAATTGTATTGTAGGATGTCAATTCTCTATGGTCTGGATTAGGTTATTATTCCAGAGCTCGCCTACTACATAAAGGAGCGAAAAAGGTTAATTTTTTAAAATCGGACTCATTTTGTAGATTGTCAATGAATTTAATAGTATTTTCCCTCAATCTGCCGAGGTTTTAAAGCATTCGATACCTGGTGTTGGACGTTATACAGCTGGAGCAATTGCAAGTATTGCGTTTAATCAGGTAATGTTTTACACACTGAATTAAGTCCAACGTTGTTACTATTATATTAGTACCATTTTTATTATAACTAGTGAATTGGAATGTGATAATGTAACATATATCAAGTAAATGTTTACTTACTCAATTTAGGACTACACCTTTTACGTGTAAGGACTAAGTATACTACGTCGCTTCCGAAAGCAGAGTGAATAGGGTTCAAACTTACAGTCCATTCAAGCGGTTAGCAAAGTAGCATCGGTTCAAATTCACGCTACAAATCATCATGACAAATACCGTAATTACAGTAGTTACAGTATCACTAATAACAACAGACATTAGTCACTAACAACACGCATTGAGAAGGAAAAACAAATTCGCGGGATAAAAAGTATAGACATTTTAAGACAAAGGGTAAATACATCTGTTCGAGATAGGGAGAAAGATTTAAGTATGAAGGCGATTCTGATCAAGTTCCTGGCGTTGATGTCGTTAAGGTAAAAGCCCGACTATAACTGCTACCTTGATGTGATAGTTGAACCCACCTTTCATGGTGACCCAACTGAGCTGTGTTGGCTGAAACACATGTCCCTTTAGGTCCTACCACCCCAGTCATGTCGGTTGGAGAACGGTAAGGCTAAAAGTAGTAACTTAAGGCCCGATGGCTAATTCGTACCTCTAGTTTTAGAAGGCTGTGACAACAGTAAAGTGTTTTCCCCGGACAACCATCCTCTTCACAGATGCTACTTTTTCGCCACACAAGGAACGACTTTGAAAAGGTTTACCCTTAAAATGCCACATCTCATCTAGCCCCACAGATTTGCATCTCCGGCCTTAAGGCCTTTTAAAGTTTGGAGCTAACACGTCAAAATCTCATAAAAAGGCTGTGCGCAACCGACCTCAGGCAGTTGTCTCTTGGGTTCTGCGGTCATGCTCCCAGGTCACTCAGACCACCAATAACGATAGACCCATATTGCCACCAGACGTCATCGGAGAGGCGCTAGAGAAGACTGTCGCTCATTTTGGAGCACATGCTTAATTACAAGCACGTACTTGTCAACATCTTACTAGGTGTGAAAAAGTCAAAAATGTATTTCAGGAACAAATAGAGCAACAGTTAGTCAATCATTTAAGTGACATTCCCGAGGTAGCTTGACACGATATTAAAACAACGGTAACATCTGTCACTAACTAAAACCAAAAGGTTAGGAGCCATTAGTGGTTTTTTTAGCGTCTACCGAACTGATAGGTGTTTGGAAACTTGTCCTGGCGGATTCTGAACACTCTCCTCATCTAAATTTCCAGGGGTTGAACTTCTACCGGGAGATTCACTTGTTGACTTGGAATATGCTGATGACATAGTTTTATTTGGTGAAGACGCTGAGAAAATGCAGAGTCTTCTGACCACTCTAAGCAACAATGCAAGCATGTTCGGGATGCGATTCTCTCCCTCGAAATGCAAAATGTTGCTTCAGGATTGGGTTACATCGACACCCGAACTAGTGATAGGGAGTGAGGTAGTTGAGTCAGTCAGTCAGTCAGTAACAACGTAGAACTTCGTACGTACGTACATCAGTTCGAGTTGCCACACCACATTAGCACAGAGATGCACTTGTCGATTCAAATCCCGTAGTGGTAGAGGTAATAAGAGTATAAGCAGTAATCGGGAAGATTAGGGTTTGGAGATGTTATTTAAAGAGTATAATCCAGTGAAAGAAATTTGGAAAGAGGAAAAAAAGGGACATGAAGAATTCAGAAGATTAGAATTTGGGAGAACACAGAGAGTGGATGCACCTGCGCCATTGCAAACGATTTTGAGCCATGTCATTCAGGGTCTCTAACCAACGGTTGCTGTCATCTCGCGGTCCCCAACCAGGTAGTCTACACCTACCAACATGACTCAGTTCACTTGTCAGTGACTTCATGGACTTGTGCCATGTTTTGGTTTGGCCGCCCCTAGCTTTCTTCCAACCTACTCCTATACCACTGAACATAGCACGTCGAGGCAGTCGGTCGTTGGGCATACGTAACACGTGTCCCAGCCATCTCAACTGATGAAGTTTCACTACGTCATCAATTGATTTGCCATCCTTACCTAGTACCCGTTTCCTAACAACTGTGTTACTTACTCGATGGTCCCATGATATATGAGCAATGTTTCGAAGACACCTATGATCAAATACTAGTAACCTACGGATATCCTCTACTCTTACCGGCCATGTTTCACTCCCATAAAGTAGGACGGAACGAACTGCTGCGCAGTAAACCCGTCCTTTGGTTGATAGACGGATATCTCGCCTACGCCATAAATGACGCAAGTTGGCAAAAGCTAGTCGAGCCTTCTGTATCCGTGCTGAGATTTCGTCACACACTAAACCACAAGGGCTGATGAGACTTCCAAGATAAGTGAAGCGGTCGACACACTCAACTACTTCACTCCCTATCACTAGTTCGGGTGTCGATGTAACCCAATCCTGAAGCAACATTTTGCATTTCGAGGGAGCGAATCGCATCCCGAACATGCTTGCATTGTTGCTTAGAGTGGCCAGAAGACTCTGCATTTTGTCAGTGTCTTCACCAAATAAAACGATGTCATCAGCATATTCTAAGTCAACAAGTGAACCTCCTGGTAGAAGTTCAACCCCTGGAAATTTAGATGAGGAGAGTGTTATCTCTAAAAGTACGTCGACCACAAAGTTGAACAAGAATGGGGAGAGTGGACAGCCCTGACGAACACCACTTGAGGTGATCAATTCTGATGACAGTTCGCCATAAGCTCTCACTCGACCAGTTGTGTTCGAGTAGAGAGCCTTTATAAGGTTAATGTACTTCTTTGGTACTCCTTTCAGTGACAAACACTGCCATAGAACCTCACGATCAATCGAGTCGAATGCCGCCTTAAGGTCGAGAAATACTACCATTGTGGGGCGTCTGAATGTGTGTCTGTGTTCTAGAACCTGACGTAGTGTGAATATCTGATCTATACAACCACGTCCAGGTCGAAAACCAGCCTGGTTTTCTCTAGTCTGCTCTTCACGAGCTTTAGTTAGGCGTCGAAGTATTATTGAAGCTAATATTTTAGACACTATATTAGTCAAACTGATTCCTCTGTGATTGTCACAAGAGGACTTTTGTCCTTTCTTAAAAACTGGCACAATCAGTGATTGAGACCAGTCAGATGGGATTACGTCCAGTTCCCAAATTCTACCTAAGACCTCAGTTAATCTCATTGCTAATACTGGACCACCATCCTTAAAAATCTCAGGAGTAAACCTGTCAGGGCCTGCTGCTCTCCCTCGTTTCAGATTTCCTATGGCTTTTTCAACTTCGTAAAGGGACGGAGGACCTACATTAACTTGCCATTCAGGTTGACTGGAGATCGTGGGAAACCGAAGTGTGGCTGAAGGCCAGTTGAACTGATCCCTAAAGTGTTCTGCCCATCGATCCAATCTCCTGGATTGAGAATGAATAATATGTCCATCTTTCTCTGAGATTGTTTCGCTAACGGTCGGGTTCCTAATTCCGGTTTCCTTAACGAGTCTGAACAATTGTCTGCTATTACCTATTGCCGCTGCCTTTTCCATCTCTCTTGCTTTCGCTACCCACCACTGTTCGCGATCATTGCGTAGACTTCTTGTCAGCTTGCGCTTAAGCTGACTCCGCTCTTCATTATGTTCAGAGCCAGGTGGAATGAGTTTCCGAGCATCTATCAGTGAGATAGATGCTGCTGAGATCCAGTGTTGCTCCCTAACCTTCTGGTTTACCTTACTAGCAGATATCACTGCTGTTTCCACAGCTTTTCGGATATCATTCCATGCTGCATCGGGGTGGGCATCACATACATGGCTGCCTAACTGTTTTCCTAGTTGTTCCTGAAATATACTCTTAGCTTGACTATCATTAAGTAGGGCCCTAAGAGGTTTCCTTGCAGGGTCTTTCCTACGTCCAGTAAGACGCAAGCAAATACGCGCTCGCACTAGAGCATGATCTGAATCTAGGCATGTGCTCCAGAATGAGCGACAGTCTTCTATCGAGCCCCTCCATCGGTGGCTGATAGCGATGTGATCTATTTGGGTCCAACGTTGGGACGAATTAGGGGGTCGCCATGTTAAAAGATGTTTTTCCTTATGCTTAAAGTTAGTATTTGCAAGGAACAGGCGGTTATCTGAGCATAGCTGCAACAGACGGTCGCCATTATCTGTTCTTTGAGCCACGACACCATAAGATCCACCTAGGTGTCTTTCCTTATCACTTAGTTTGCCTACTTGAGCATTAAAGTCACCGGCCACTATTACTACATCCGAGCGCCTAGCTTTTCGGAGAAGGTCCGAAAGCTTTCTGTAAAACTCATCTTTTACATCATCTGAGCTGCAGTCAGTGGGAGAATAGGCAGAGACGACGAAGAGGCAACGACGAGTGTCCCTATCTTTCCGGATTCTTACTGTTCCGTTCAGTCGGACAGCGCACAAACGACTGTCTACTGGGATCCACTCTAAGAGAGCTAGTTCTGCCCTAGGACTCAATGCTATACCTACGCCGGCGAGGCCACGGGAAGCAGAATCAGGGCTTCCAGATACACGAAGCGTAAATCGAGTCGGTTCTTTATTTTGGCATGGTGAGGTCAAATGAATGACGCTACTTGGATCCTGTATGCGCGTTTCGGAGACGCAGCACACATCGATGGCGCGAGATTCTAAAGTTTTAGCTAAGGAAGCCTGCTGTCCTATTTGGCAAAGTGTTCGTACGTTAAAAGCTCCTACGTGTAGTTTAGAGCGTGGTTTCAGGAGACCAGGAATGGCGTTCCACGTACTCGAATCGTTTGCCCTAGCGGTGCGAGGTGATAAAAAGACGTGAGGAGGGTTAGTCGGGAGGATAAGAGAAGTATTAGGAGGTGTAGGAAGGATTTGAATGTGACCACCTTGGTCTCTTGTGCTGTTACGGGTATGAGGGCTGATGTCACTTCCCGGCTGCCCACACCGTGGAAGGGTATTTCTTGAGGAACCTGAAAAGGAAATTGGATTAGTGTTGGTCTTGACGACCTGGGAGCGTGACCGCAGAGCCCAAGGGACAACTGCTTGAGGCCGGTCGCGCACGGCCTTTTTGTGGAAGGTTTTTGACGTGTTAGCTCCGTTCTTCAAGGGGCCTTACCGCCGGAGACGGAAATCCGTGAGGTAAGGTGAGGTGTGCATTTTTAGGGTCGACCTTTTCTAACCCCACCCCTCCTTGTGGGAAGGCAGCATCGCTGTCATGCTGGTTGTCCGAGGGAAACACCTTACTGCTGTCACACCTCTCTACAGTCAGCAGTACGACTTCGCCCTCAGACCTTGAGTTGCTGCTTTTAGTCTTACCGTTCGCCAATCGACCTGCCTGGCATGGTAGAACCTGCAGGAACATATGTTCCAGCCAATATAGCTCGGTTGGGTCATCACGATAGGCAAGCCCGATCACCGCGTCAAGGTAGCAGCTTCGATCGGGAGGTAGTTGAGTGTGTCGACCGCTTCACTTATCTTCGAAGTCTCATCAGCCCTTGTGGTTTAGTGTGTGACGAAATCTCAGCACGGATACAGAAGGCTCGACTAGCTTTTGCCAACTTGCGTCATTTATGGCGTAGGCGAGATATCCGTCTATCAACCAAAGGACGTGTTTACTGCGCAGCAGTTCGTTCCGTCCTACTTTATGGCAGTGAAACATGGCCGGTAAGAGTAGAGGATATTCGTAGGTTACTAGTATTTGATCATAGGTGTCTTCGAAATATTGCTCGTATATCATGGGACCATCAAGTAAGTAACACAGTTGTTAGGAAACGGGTACTAGGTAAGGATGGCAAATCAATTGATGAAGTAGTGAAACTTCATCAGTTGAGATGGCTTGGACACGTGTTACGTATGCCCAACGACCGACTGCCTCGACGTGCTATGTTCAGTGGTATAGGAGTAGGTTGGAAGAAAGCTAGGGGCGGCCAAACCAAAACATGGCACAAGTCCATGAAGTCACTGACAAGTGGACTGAGTCATGTTGGTAGGTGTAGACTACCTGGTTGGGGACCGCGAGATGATAGCAACCGATGGTTAGAGACCCTGAATGACATGGCTCAAAATCGTTTGCAATGGCGCAGGTGCATCCACTCTCTGTGTTCTCCCAAATTCTAATCTTCTGAATCCTTCATGTCCCTTTTTTCCTCTTTCCAAATTTATTTCACTGGATTATACTCTTTAAATAACATCTCCAAACCCTAATCTTCCCGATTACTGCTTATACTCTTGCTACCTCTACCACTACGGGATTTGAATCGACAACTGCATCTCTGTGCTAATGTGGTGTGGCAACTCGAACTGATGTACATATGTACGAAGTTCTACGTTGTTACTGACTGACTGAAGAGTGGAGGCAGCTTAAACGAAGTTAATAACAAGCTTACTCAATGATCGTACTGGGTACTGGGTAAAAAAGCAAAAGAATTGAGGAAAGCAACAGAGATAGGTAATGATGGACGAATATTCAGACTTATTAAAGAAACGAGTATAAAAAGTCCCCCTGTTAGTGAAACTATCTCGGAAAAAGATGTGGCCATTATTCACTTTCAGTCCAAAAGACAACAGATGATCGGAACACTTAAGGGAACAGTTAAACTAACCTTCAGCCACACTTCAATTACCCACCATCTCCAAGCAGGCTGAATGGTAAACTGATGTAAGTCCTCCGACTGTTATTGAGGTATCGTTCTCATAGAGGCTTTTTTTATCTTTACTGTCTATTGTCATTGCATTTTTCGAACTTAGTGATTCAAGATCCGTCTTGGTTTTTTATTCAACTGTTTTGGTTGTTGGTGTTTGCCTTTGCGAAGTTTTGTTCCAAGTTGTCTAGAAATCGCTAAGCGTTGACTCGAGAGTGTGAAAAGGTAATTGTCAATGCAAACTGAATGGCAAATCGACAACTATTTGTAAGGTTAAAAAGGCTATAGATAAAATAAAGCGAAGGAGCGCGTCAGGGCCTGATAGGCCAACTCGGTAAGTATTTATGTATAGTGATTCAGTTTCATCAATTAAATTAACTGAGATCTTAGCCAGAATTCGCGATCTGGATGCAACCTCATCAAACTGATCTCGATCGCAGATCGTCCCAGTTTATAAAAAAGGACGAAATTCTACATGTGACAATCACAAAAGGATCAATTTGGCTAATATAGTATCTAAAATATTAGCTTCAATAATACTCAGATGCTTAACTTGAGCTCATAAAGATCGAACCCAAGAGAACCAGTTTGGTTCTAGACGTGGATATGGATACATAGGTCGTATATTCACTCTTCATCAGATTCTGGAACACAGTTTTCGGCGTACAATCATATTTGTATTCTTTGACCTGTTGATCACGAGGTTCTGTGTCAGTGTCTATTGTTGAAAGACGTACCAAAGAGGTACACTAACATTGTACAGGCTCTCTACTCAAACACTTTTGGTCGAGTCAAACTTATGGGGGGCTGTCATCGGAATTGCTTACTGCAAGTAGTGTTAATCAGGGTTGTCCACTCTCCCCATTTTCATTTGACTTTGTCTTAGACAAGCTTTTAAAAGTAACATTCTCATTGTCTGACTTCTGAGGGGTTGATTTTCTATCACAAGATTCACTTGTTGTCTTGGTATACGCAGATGATATAGTTTTGTGTGGTGAAGACGCCGATAAACATGGTTTTCTGACTACCTTAAGCAACAATCCAAGCATGTTTGGCATGAGATTCTCTCCCTCCAAATATGAAATATCACTTCAGGATTGGCTAGAGTCAGCACCTGAGTTAATGGTAGAGATCGAAGTAGTTTAGTGTGTCAACCGTTTCACTTATCTTGGAAGTCTCATCAGTCCTGATGGTTTGGTGTTTGACGAAATTTCGGCTCGGATTCAGAAGGCTCGATTGGCCTTTGTGAACTTGCGTCACTTGTGTTGTAGGCAAGATACCCATCTTCCAACCAAAGGATGTTTACTGCTCAACAGTTCATTCTGTCCTAAACGATGGGTGTGAAACTTGGCCATTAAGAATGCAATATATTGGTAATTTACTAGTATTTCATCATATGTGTCTTCGACGTATTGCTCGTGTATTTCGGGACCACGGAGTAAGTAATCCTTGGGATAGCAATAGGTTACCATATAAGGATGGCAAATCGATTGATGAGGTAGTAAATCATCATCAACTAAAGTGGTTGGGACATGTGTTACTTATGTCCAACTACTGCCTAAGTCGACATGTGATTTTGTTTGGGGTGGAAGTATGTTGGAGAAAAGCTTGGAGCAACCAAATCAAAGCATGGTGTCAGTTTATGAAGTCACTGACAGTTGGACTTAGACATGTTGATAGGTATAGACTACCTTGTTGGTGTCCGGGTGATTATCATAATCAATGTTTAGAAACTGATTGACACTTCTCGAAATCGTTTGCAATGGAGCACTTTCACTCATTTTTTGTCTTCTCTCGAATTCTGAGATTCTAAATCCCTCATAACTATTCTTCGTTTTCATTTCTCTATTTTACGTAGTTTTTTCGAGTGGTATCTTCGATGCCTAGTCTTTCCTATTACCACTGACACTGTTACTACCTCTACTATTCTGGGATTTGACCTGACGACTTCATTTTTCTGTTCTAACGGTGTATGACAACTTGAACCGATATACATAAGTACCAGGTTCTTCATTGTGACTGGCTGATATTTATTCTACTGAAATTGACCCTGAGTTATTTCACCGGTCATCCTCAATTACTGATTATCGCAGGTGTGCTGAATCCACCAATACATTTGTTCATTAGTTAATAGTTAATTGCTTTAACCAATAGTCTAACGTTTCTTATTTTTAAAAGCAGTGAATTCGATAACAGTACCAATGTACAAGTGTTTTATATTATTTTCACTTCAGTGTACTCCTGTTTTGGATGGAAATGTAATTCGTGTTCTAACACGTTTACGTCAAATTGGTTCTCCTGTACAATTACCTACTTCTATGGAATATTTATGGAATTTGGCAACTAAGCTAGTCGATCCTAATCGACCTGGAGATTTTAATCAAGCTTTAATGGAATTAGGTGCAGTTTGTTGTACACCGAAAAACCCTGATTGTATGAAATGTCCACTTAATAAAGTTGGTTTATGTGAATCATATAAACAGGTAGGTTGACAATATTATCCTGTTTCGTTCAAGTTAAAATTTTTCCATTCTTTTTGCTTTGTTATATAGGCTAATGCAAGCAAAAGTGATTACATTTCAACTGATCTTGAAGATTGTCATTTGTGTATTAATAGTAGTGTTTATCAAAAAAGGTAATATATTTACTGTTTGTTGCTTTGATTTGCATAATTTACATCTTGACCTTAAACCTGTCATTGATTACTTCTTTATTTTGGTTTTATCTCATTAATATCAGATGGGTTTTTGTGGAGATTGTAGTAATTTCAATGGTTAAGATCATAAGTCAGTTGGTTTTGGTCTTACATTTGTCCATAATTTTTCTGATTGGTTGATAAATTGGATCAACAGTAACCAGTCAAGATCAACGTCTACAGAACCAGCTGTGAACCATGTGTGGAGAAATTCGAACACTTCACTTCTACCTGAAGTTTGTGCTGATGATGTCGTTCAGAATAACGATAAAATCTTCACGACCAAACCATACAGCTCAGAGAATAAAACTCCATCAAAATCATCCACCTGAGTTATAAATCTTCTCGACCATCTCATTATCGACAGAATAGAATAAAGTTGTCAGTGTTGAAATGTCTTGTGTGTAGTGTTTCTTTAACTCAGTTTATGTGTCAATTGTAACTAAATGATCAATAGTCAGAATAAATATAGATAACATGAAGTGTGAGAAATAATAATGTAATGTTTCGTCGAAGACTTATCAATATCTTTACAAAATTCCCATGATGTTATTAGAGGGCGAATCACTAAGTAATTTAACCAGCGACGAAGTATAGCTCTATCTTAACGCACCCAGTTGATAGTGATCTTCTGGTGGATAAACTGAATCAAGGCGATTGATCTATCATACATCTTCGTCGTTTCACTATAGAATCCCATCTAGTCTACTATATATATATAGAAAAGCGAATCAGCGAAAAAATGTTCTTTTTGACGAAATCATTTACTTAAGCTGTACATTCGTATATATAGTTATATGGAAAATATATGTCTGTAGAAGGATAGAAAAGACTGCATCACAAAAATGGATTCAAGAATAAATAACAAATGAGGTTACGTACTAATCAAGGGGTAAGGAAGAAAATAATATATGGGTCAAATAATAGTCCAATTGACAGATATGAAGAAAAGCGACAAACAACAAAGGTCATAATAAAAATGCAAAACAGTAATTGAAAAAAATTCAATAATAATCAAATAAAAGTGCAAAAAAACAAGGAGAAAAGAAAACCCAGAAACATATCCATCAAAGGAACTAGGGTCAAGTAAGGATGAGAGGTTGGACAAATCGTTTCTGCACGCAAAGTTCAAGCTTGAGTTCATGGATCGCCGATGCCTTAGAAGTGCATAAAATGTTGATTCAGCCCCCCTTCGATCCAATTCCTTTGACTCTGTAGATTACTTTAAAAGAAAAGTCTTTTGAAGCGATGTGTCCACAGTTAATATTAAATGCTCCTGTATCGAACTAGTAATTGTTCTGCATTCTCCTTTTAAGAGCTAAGCCGGATAGTGTCCCGAGATGCGTTTGGACAGCGATTGCTTTGTGCGGCCTATGTGACGTGCCCCACATGAGCAAGTAAATTTGTAGATACACATTGATGTGGCCCAAAGCCGAAGTTTATCCTTAACACATCCCCGAATGGTAGGTCGGATGGAGAAAACAATTCGGAGCTTAGCTGCGTAGAATGTTTTATTCAACGATTTTGAAACCCGTTTATTTAAGATTTCAGCAGCCGTGTCTCCTTTAAATTCCATATTCATAAATAGAGTTTTCTTCTCTACTGTCGATGCTTTGTCATGAAGTCTAGGTGCCAAGTTTCTATCGATGAATCTCGGTGGATAACCATTTTTGATGAGGATCTGTCGAAGATAAAATAGTTCCCCATCTATTGTGTCATTGGAACAAATTCGCCTGATCCTTGAGGATAAAGAATGAATTAAGTTCCTTTCTCTACTTAATGGAACCCAACTATGGAAGTTCGTGTATTGTCCATTCCAAGTGGGTTTTCTATGTATCGATCTCTGTAAAAAACCGTCAGGCATTCTTTTTAAATGGATATCAAGAAAATGAAATTCATGGTTTGTCTCTGCTTCTAAGGTAAATTGAATTGATGGGTGACAATTATTGAAAATATTCAAGATTTCGTTGAGGTCCATGTCTTCTTCACAAATAATGAAAGTGTCATCCATATATCTTTTATCTGAATGAAATCTCAATTATTGATCGAAGCATCGAATTTTCCAGATTGGCCATGAAACAATCAGCCAAGAGAGGGCCCAATGGAGAACCCATTGCAACTCCATCTATTTGTTTATAGAAAACATCATTAAATCTAAATTGCACGTTGAGCGTACATCGTAGAATTAGTTCTTTAAGATAATGTTTTGGGATACACATATCAAGATTATTGTTTTCAATATAGTCACATAGAAATCAGTAGTTTCTGTGTGAGGAACATTTGTAATGATGATTTCTATAGACAAACAGATGGAGTTGCAATGGGCTCTCCATTGGGTTCTCTCCTGGCTGATTGTTTCATGGCGAATCTAGGACATTCGGTACTTCGATCAATAATTGAGAGTTTCATTCATATAAAAGATATATGGATGACACTTTCATTATTTGTGAAGAAGACATGGACCTCAACGAAATCTTGAATATTTTCAATAATTGTCACCCATCAATTCAATTTACCTTAGAAGCAGAGACAAACCATGAATTTCATTTTCTTGATATCCATTTAAAAAGAATGCCTGACGGTTTTTTACAGAGATCGATACATAGAAAACCCACTTGGAATGGACAATACACGAACTTCCATAGTTGGGTTCCATTAAGTAGAGAAAGGAACTTAATTCATTCTTTATCCTCAAGGATCAGGCGAATTTGTTCCAATGACACAATAGATGGGGAACTATTTTATCTTCGACAGATCCTCATCAAAAATGGTTATCCACCGAGATTCATCGATAGAAACTTGGCACCTAGACTTCATGACAAAGCATCGACAGTAGAGAAGAAAACTCTATTTATGAATATGGAATTTAAAGGAGACACGGCTGCTGAAATCTTAAATAAACGGGTTTCAAAATCGTTGAATAAAACATTCTACGCAGCTAAGCTCCGAATTGTTTTCTCCATCCGACCTACCATTCGGGGATGTGTTAAGGATAAACTTCGGCTTTGGGCCACATCAATGTGTATCTACAAATTTACTTGCTCATGTGGGGCACGTCACATAGGCCGCACAAAGCGATCGCTGTCCAAACGCATCTCGGGACACTATCCGGCTTAGCTCTTAAAAGGAGAATGCAGAACAATTACTAGTTCGATACAGGAGCATTTAATATTAACTGTGGACACATCGCTTCAAAGGACTTTTCTTTTAAAGTAATCTACAGAGTCAAAGGAATTGGATCGAAGGGGGGCTGAATCAACATTTTATGCACTTCTAAGGCATCGGCGATCCATGAACTCAAGCTTGAACTTTGCGTGCAGAAACGATTTGTCCAACCTCTCATCCTTCCTTCGAAATAGTCAACGTTTCCCTTTAAATGCTATCTATCATATGACGACGCGTATATATCCACTGTCAGTAAAGTCCTGCTCATTCTCTTCTGGAGGAACAAGTGTTGATTCCGAAATTGGAAGAAACATAAGCGAACATTCAACTCTTAAACCAGATTCCTGGGTCACGGACGACCCTCCTAGAAAAGTTGGAAAACCCTGATTCTAAATCTATGGTGCACGTGTGATACAGAATCCTAAGGGAATAAACGTCATAGGAACCTAATCTTGGTCACTGCCTAATATAAGACCGAATCTTCTAACATTGTATCACTGTCATGTGTATTAAGTCGCTGAGTCGAAAACATATGGAGTAGTAGCACCCCAAGAAAACCACCTGCTTTTGTTTGAGCACCTAAATAGTAGCTCAGACCGTACACAAATTCAATAATTTGTGTTGCGCCATATATATTTTGTTGCCAACTGTATCAGTGTTTATGTGTTTAAATAAATGGTGATAATCCATATTACTTACGTCTGTTACCTCTTGTGAAGGAGCATAGATCGCTCATCAGGATTGATAATCCATGTAGAATAACATAGAAGCGAATAACATTGTTTTTAGTCAGATCGTCTCTTTCACGAAGCCTCTCCATTTATACAGCGATATTTATATGGATATATGAAAACACCAAACCAATCAAGGGAATTAATAAGACCATTGCTACAATTTCTTAACTATATGTCATAAGTGAAAGGTACAAATTGATAGTAATAAGTCAGGAGTACTTATAGTAATGATAATAATAAAATAACAAAAGTTCTAATCATTAATTCAACCTAAAAAGTAGGTCAAGCTTAAATGAACAAACTTAAAAAAAAGACGAAACACTGAAATTTCGCAATGAAGTTTAAATAATTAGATAGTGAAGGATATAGACCGGAAGAGGCGAGAAATGACAAACAAATACATGATATAAAGGAAAGTTAATTAGGTCGTTTATGAAGTCATATCTGACCAAGGAAGGGACAGGGTGTCACGAATTTCTTTTGAGCATATGAACTAGAGTTATAGGTTCGGATCCTTATAGCTCTATATATAGGAGATGGGATCGAATTCATTAGGAAATGACGATGGTATCTGTTGGATCACCACAAGATCATGGCCAAACGTGATAAATAAAGTCTTTGTTTGATCCTTTCCAAATAATTATAAGAAATGTTCACACATTCGTTAGTACGTCTAATATAGCTATCTCAAGAGCAGATAAATTTTTTGATACATATCAAAAAAGCAAATCCATGTAAATTGTTCCATGTTTGAGTGAACATCACCGGTTAACTAGGAAATGCTAACGTAAGTTTAGTTGTTATCCTAACTGTACTCACTAATCTACTGTACGAAACGTCACTATCTACATTCTCGTTGAACTGTAGTTAGACTAAAATTCCCTTCGAGCGGTCTATATTTCCAGCTTTTCTTCCTGTTTACATATGTTCTAAAAACTTGGTAAGTAGCCCATTTCCATCAGAGTGTTATTGAAAGCTTCAAGTCCTTACTTATGGCTTCATCTGGGCAGATCTTTTTTTTATCCCTTTTGTAAAGTATCTAACCAGATTACTTTTGTAGTGGGTAGATATCTGGCTACGGAAGTCTGTATCTCAACACCCAGAAGCGCTCTCTCTATACACCCTTCTGTCTAACAAACTGTCGTCCTGTCTACCAAATGAAATGTCATGGTAATTTAATGTATTCTCATACTCATCCTCTCAAGTAAGAGTGATTGCCGAACACACCATGTCAAGCTGGTTTAGGATTTCTTTTTGTTGATATCGTAACCTATGATGAGTGTTTTGTCTATCTAATGTCTGTATAGATCTAGTTTATCGTTGACTTTCTTGAAGGGTCATTGAAAAGATTTTTGTTCGTTTACATGTGTTCTGATTTATTTATCATTATTCTTATATAGTCTTGGAGTAATGAATTATCCTGTGAAACTTAGCAAACGTGAACCTCGTAAACAAAATACAGTTATTCTAATCACACATACTTCGAGAAAAGAGAATGAAGCACTAAAAAATTACTACCTGCTTTTACAACGACCTAAAACAGGTATGTATTTGTTAAATGATTCAATTTTTTTTCTCTCCCTATATTCCTCACGTAATTCTTTCTTGTAGTATGTTGGTATATAATTCCTTAGTCTATTGTTAGTTTTTGCTGTTGTAAGAGGTTGGAAGTGAGTTAGGCGCTCTCAAACTAAGATGCGACGTAAATTTATCAAGTCACTGACTGTTGAACTGACCTGTGTAGGTAGGTAGGTAGGCAGGCAGGCATGTACAAATCACCTTGTTGCTATCAGCGCGACATTCGTAGCAATTAGTTGACGTGGATCAGAATCCATCTCAGTGACGTAGATGCACTCACTCTTTTACCTATAATACTTATACTTTGTATCCCACAATTTCTTCATTCCTTTTCGAATCATGTTGTCTACACCTAATGTTTTCTACTATTATTGATACGATGACTACTTCTTGTACTCTGGTATTTATATTTATATTTGATCTGATTTGGGGACTTGTGCAGAGTTGCATGAATTTGTATGATTTTCTGTCACTTATAGCTTACTTGATGAGGTTAAATTTCTCAATTTACTGATCAATTACAAAATGTGTCCTTTTTAAAACTCATCAATATTGTCTTGTGTTACATCCGGACGATGACTAAGGGAATAAGTAGTGCTGGTGGCGTGAGTGATGAGATCAATGCACGTATAGTGAAAGCCAGAGCGGCTTATGCCAATCTGGACCATCTTTGGTCCCTTCGTGATGTTAGTCTGTCTGTGAAAGGTCGGATCTACAACGCGTCGGTGAGAGCAGTTCTGCTCTATGCTTGTGAAACCTGGCCTCTCCGAGTTGAGGACGTTAGACGACTCTGTGTTTGATCATCGTTGTCTCCGAAGGACTGCTGACATCCAGTGGCAACACCATGTTAGTAATACGGAGGTTCGGCTTCGTGTGTTCGGGCACAGAGACGATAATGCAATCGGTGTCACCATCTTGAAACACCGACTTCGGTGGCTTGGACATGTTCTACGAATGTCGTCCCAGAGAATTCCATGTCGTGCATTATTTGCCGACTCTGGGACTGGTTGGAAGAAGCGGGGAGGTGGTCAGTGTATGACATGGTGTCGTGGTATGAAAGAAATCTGCAAAGGACTGGCCTGTGTTGGTCCTTCACGACTCCCTGGCTGGGGTCCTAGAGATGGTGCAACACAGTAGTTAGAGACGTTATCGGATAAGGCTCAGAATAGAAGCCAGTGGCGATCCTGCTGTAACCTTCTTTTACTTTCTTCATTTAAAAAATGGTTGTTTCTTCCTCAACTGAAAGAATTCTGATTGTACCTTTCCGTTTCCCCCTTTATTATTATTATTATTATTATTATTATTATTATTATCATTACACTACCTTACACTAATCTGTGGTCGTTATGTAGTGGACAAGAACAGCAGTGGGGACAATCGAATGTATTTAACACAAAGTCAAGAACTTGTTGATAAAATCTAACAATCATAAGGTAAATGCTTAATTTGCAAAATGTCCACCGATTGTCTCAAAATGACTCACACTTCATTGTTCTTGCATTTTTATACAAATTGAATCCTATTTCCATTCTTTACTGTTCGATCCTCTTGTCTCTCTACTGCCAGACCTTCTGTTCATGACTAACACCATATACTACTTAGGCCAATATAAGCAGCACACACCACAGTTATTGTTCTTTTTTTATACGCTCCTTACCTTCTTTTTTCTCATCCCATTCCGATTGTTTTGTGTGGCGCATATATATTTGGTGCCTCCTTGTACCAATATTTGTGTTCAAATAATAATAATAATGATAATACAGAATAGTAACTTCCAGGATATACATAACGATTTTGGACTAGTGATCACATGTTTTGTGTTCTTGCTCTTTGTTCGGGTCTTGTTAGTACCGAACCGACCGGTCAACGTTCTCGTCCTTGTTGCGTATTGGTTTGTGCTAGGATATAGCATCTTGTATTCCACAATCGATATCTTTATAACTAATAACTGTTGCAATGGAAGAAAAGCTTTTATAATTTGCTCGTTACCTTATTGAATATACTCTGAAGTTGCTACTTTGATGTAGTGATTAGGATAGTTGTAAATTTTTCAGATTGGTCAGTAATTATAATAATTGCTTAAGGCATCAACTTACGTAGTAGGTTTGACTGTAAAGCTATCTTATATCACATTTTGGAAACCTGTGAATATATGTTACCCTGACTGGTAGCCTTCATGACCTTAGGGAGTGACAATAAAGCCTAAGAGATAGCTGCTTGAGCCAGGGTGGTACCCGACCATTTTATGACTAGGTTTTGTTTTGTTTACTCTACAATATCATGGCGTTACCGTCGGGGACGGCAATCATCCATGCACAAATTGAGGTGTATTATTTTCAGGATCGAACTCTTCTAACCATCATAAACAGAGATCATCTCTAGAGATACAATTCGATTCATAGTTTTTTTTTTACAAATTTAATATGTGTACTTATATTAACAACAGAAATCTTAAACAATAAACATTCTTATGCATGAATTCTCAGGTCTTTTGGCTGGTTTATGGGAATTTCCAAGTTACACCATTGAAGATGACAAATTGACGAGTGAAATTCAACAATCATTTATTCCTTTAGTTATTGATCGAATTACAAATGCGTTGAATTCCTCACTGAATATAACTTCAATTAATGAATTAAATGTGAAACCTATTGGAGAGGTATGATATATTTTATAGCTTTTTGCAGATATATAATCACAGTAAAATATAAGATATAACGGTGATTAAGAAATCATGAGTTTTAATTTCGTAGTATTACACATGCATTCAATCATTGCCTACCTCCGATTTATAGCGTTGGTTGATGTAAGAATAGGTTGGAAGAAAGCTCGAGGTGGTCAAACTATGAATTCATGAAGTAGTCAACTGTTACTCTGAAGTATGTTGGTGTATACACTGACTACGTTGTTGGAATTGGTGTCATAATCATGAAATGTGATCACTTGAACTGATACATTTTTTCGTGTTAGATCCCTTGTTGTTTAAAACAGACTGATAGTAGATAATCGTTTCTCCTGTCTGAAATTATATTCATTTCACCATAATTCTAAAACTTGAGTTCTAATGAACACTATATCTAGTATTAACGTATCCTGCCGATTACTTATTATTATTATTATTATTATTATATTATTATTATTATATATTATTATTATTATTATTTATTATATTATATATTATTATATTATTATTATTATTATTATTATTATTATTATATTTTATTATTATTATTATTATTATTATTATATTATATTTTATTATTATTATATTTTATTATTATTATTATTATTATTATATTATTATATTATTATTTATTATTATTATTATATTATATTATTATATTTTATTATTATATTTATTATTATTATTATTTATATTATTATTATTATATTATTATTATATTATATATTATTATTATTATTATTATTATTATTATTATTATTATATATTTTATTATTATTATTTATTATATATTATTATATTTATATTTTATTATTTTTATTATTATTATATTTTATATTATATTATTATTATTATTATATTATTTTATTATTATTATTATTATTATTATATTATATTATTATTATTATTATTTTATTATTTATATTATATTTATTATTATTATTTATTATTATTATTATATTATTTATTATTATTATTATTATATATTATTATATTATTTATATTATTATATTATTATTATATTATATTATTATTATTATTATTTTATATTTATTATTATTTATTATTATTTTATTATTTTATTATTATTATTATATATTATTATTATTATTATTTATTATTATTATTATTTATATTTTATTATTATTATTATTATTTTTATTATTATATTATTATTATTTATTATATATATATTTATTATTATTATTATATTATATTATTATTATTATTATTATTATTATTATTATTATTATTATTATTATTATTATAAGAAGCTTTATTCAACATTATACTTTTGGTACAACATAGAATTCTCAGCATAAAGTATTTCAACAAGTTTCTTTTTCTTGGATCTTGATCGATTGACGATAAATTTCGAATGATGACCAGTTAGATGTTAGAATTCGGTAATCCACATTGATTAATGTTCATTCGTTTCATTGCATATTGCCAGTCACCATGATGTCGCTGATTGTACCTTTCTGTATCCCGTATAGCGAAAGGTTGTAAACTTTTCATAACGCGCCCGAATAGATTGTGAGCACAATAGACATAGTGATGTGCTAAAACAACAACAAAACAGATAACTTGAAGAAATATCTAGATCGAAGGAACAGGTAGCCCAGATATTCAAGCAGGCCGCCACTTAATTCATGCATAGTACCAGCAGTTCTTTGTTGATATTCTTCATATCTTCTCGTTTGACGCAAGTTCCAACTTATTGCCTCTTAATTCAACCTATCATTATATTAACCATTTCATTTTATTTTATAAAAGCGTTTCTTCATCTAAAGATTTAAAAAAGTTCCCTTAAATTTAGTTGTAACTGTTGTTTAAAGCGATGAATCACCAGCCTACTTATTGACATAAATAGTTCGTAATAGATCTTAATTTAAGTTATTTTTACTAGGTGATCAGATTTGGATTGTAAAAATAATGGAGAAATGTAAATTTCCAGTAAATGAACTTTTCAGTCAGTTACAACGTAGGACCAGGCACATATATGCATCGGTCCAAGTTGCCATACCGCATCAGCACAACAAAATGAACACCGGATTCATAGGAGTGGTTAAGTCAATGGTGGTAATATATAAAAGAAAGATTGCATATAAGGATATATTACAGAAAGAAAGATATGAAGCGATTTTAATCTCTTGGTTTAAGGGAAGACAGAGAGTGTATACACCTACGCCATTGTGATCGATTCTGAGCCATGTCACACAGAGTCTCCAACCATTGGTTACGATTGTCACACGGACCCCAACCAAGTAGTCTGCATCTACCAACATGGCTCAGACTAGAAGTTAGTGACTTCAAGCACTGATGCCACGTTTTGGTTTGGCCGCCCTTACTTTCTTCCAACCATGTCTAACACCCGTTAGCATTGCACGTCGTGGTAATCGGTGTTCAGGCATACGTAACACGTGGCCCAACCATCTCAGTCGATGAAGATTAACAACCTCATCAACTGATTTACCATCATAACCTAATACCCTGCATCTAACCTCACTATTACTTACCCAGTGATCCCAGCAGATGCGAGCAATATTTCTAAGGTATCTGAGAGCGTGACCGCAGTGCCCAAGGAACAACTGCTTGAAGTCTGTCACACACGATTTTTTTCTGAGTACTTTTTATATTAGCTCCGTACTTTTTGGGACCTTACCGCCGAGGACGGATATCCATGGGATAAGGCAAGGTGTGCATTTTTAGGGTCGACCTTTTCTAACCCCACCCTTCCTTGTGGGAAGGCAGCAACGCTGTCATGCTGGTTGTCTGAAGGAAACACCTTACTGCTTTCACAACTCTGTATAGTCAGCAGTACGACTTTGCCTTCGGACCTTGGGTTTGTTACTTTTAGTCTTACTGCTCTTCAACCGACCTGTCTGACATGGTAGGACCTTGAGGAACGGTTGTTCCAGCCAGTATAGCTCGATTGGACCATCGCGATAGGCAAGCCGACCTCCACGTCAAGGTAGCAACAACGGTCGGGAAATGAACTTTTAGAAGTGAGAAAATGTTTTCATTCACTTCGTTTAAAGTTAGGTGTGTGTTAACTGTGTATTGATGTTTAAAAATAACTTTCAACAATCAGAGAGTTGTTTTGTCTCTAGGACAAAATAACATTAAACTTTAAAATGTTAAATTTAATTCTAATACAGACGTATCGTGAAGTTGTTTTAGAATTGGAAATTAAACTTCAAAATCTATTGGGCTACAGGTTCGAGTCCAGTTCCATTTACTACTACTACTACGGCAGAGTTTTGCTTTTTTCTCTCATATAGTTTCAAAAAATAATCTATAAAGTCGAAGTTGTACCTGAGGTAACAAATGTGTTTGATTACTGGAATGATCATTTGTAGATATCTATTAGAATTTGTGCCCCCAAATGCCCTGGTACGGCCGAGAGTGGGGAAAGTTCGCTCTCCCTCTCGAAATGCTGTCACATGGCCACGCGTATATAGCCTCTTCCAGGGAAGTCCTACTCACTGCCTTCTCGTAGCGGGGTGTTGTTTACGAAATTGAGAGGACGAAAGCGAATGTCCGGCGCTTTAACCGGGTTCCAAACCAATGGTGCACATGGGCTCCAGTATCCTGAGGGAACAAATGGCGTATGAACCAGTTGTTGGTCACCGGCTACCATGTGACTGCATCTCCTTACGATGCTCAACTGCCTTGTGGATCAGACCTTGAGGTTGAAGGCTCAGGGAGTGGCCTCTTAAGAAAACCACGTGGTTCGGTTTGGGCACCTGGACAGTATCTCAGCCCTCATACATATCAAATGAGATTTGTGTGACGCATATGTATTTGGTGCCTCATTGTACCGATATCTATGTGTTAAAATAATATATAAATAAGTAGAATTTGTTAGTTCGTCTTATTATAGTACAACTTAAATAAGGTACATCAATCATATATTAATTGAATTGATCATTAAAGGATTACAATATATTTGAACAACACATGTAAGCGAACAATATTGTTTTCAACTTAGATCGTTATCAGGCTTGATTCTAATATACGAAAATGTTAAACCAATCAAGACAATTTAGGCCAATAATTACAATGAAATAGATTACATCACCGTACATAATTGATAAAAGTACAAGTTAATAGTAGTAGGAAGACAGGTGTACTGATAGTAGTAAGAATAATAAAATACAATAACAAATGTCTTATCAATAGTTAAACATTGGAAATAGAAGGTCAAACATGGGTAAATAGACTGACAGTGGCCATATACGCGTAGTCATATGTGAGCGTTTGAAGGGGAGAGTAGACTCCACCTTCGACCGTATTTGGGGCTGGATTTTTCGTCTTCGTCTTATCTAAGTTATTATCATACTATGTTGACTGAAAACAACAGTTGGACAACATGTCGATATTCGTTATTATATAAGTTAAGTAAAACCACTTCAAACCTAACCTGATATAATCAAAAGTAATTGAAAGATAGATATCTTTATAATCAATGTGAATTACTACATTTCCATTCTTCCTCTTTAATCACTCACATTAACTCGGCGCCCAAATATTGTGAAACTATTCGTTCAAATTTAGACAAAAGTTCTTATTCCATTATTTTTGTTCATTAATATACAACTGTAGGGAGAGTCTTCCAGCTAATTAATCTCTCTTCACTTAATGGGTTTAATTTGAATCCATATAATTTCCACTAATCTATCCTGTTTTTCGTCATATATAAATGTCACGTGGAATATTTCGATAAAATCTTATCTAAACTAATAATTTTCTTGTTTCTATGTTTATATTTACCCACATTTACTGTGATAACTCTTCCCCATTCAGGTTCTACATATTTCTCCCATATACACATGACGTATATTGTATTCGAGTTGAAAGTTGAACAACAACAACAACAACAACAAAAAACGATTCCTTCTGAGTGTTTAAACAATTCTAATACCACTACTGCTACTTGTGATTGGCCGCCTAGTTTAAATTCCGGTCGATGGGTTAGTCGTGAAGATTTAAACGACTCGGCTATATCCACTGCTACTAGAAAGGCAAGTTATGTTTGTATGTTTATTTGTGCATATGTGTGTGTTTTACATAATTTATAACCAGTTTTTATCTATTTATGAGAAAGAAACTTCATTATGTTTACACTTTCCATAAACAAACATTTCGATTTCGATTGAACTGTACTAGTTTAGAGTCTATTTAGATATCGCTTGGATCCACACATATCCAGCTAGAGAGTCCCCGAATGGAGTGAAACGCGCACCCAACTGCTACTCAACATTCAATGTTAATTAAGACAAATTTTGATGAAACCAATTCCGTCCATTAGTTACTCATTAGTCATTGACTCATAATTACATTGAGTTTGAATGACAACTGACTGCGTATATTGCGGTGTTAAACTAATTTAACATATCACCGGTCACGAACTTTTACTCTTGATACGTGTTAGTGAAACGATAGTCCCTGGTTGATTCCATTAAGTTTTAAGTCTCAAGCTGCAATTTCTAACCCGACTCAATTTTTATTAGCTTAGACTGTTCGGCTAGCGTTTTCTAACCCTCATACATATTCTGTATGCTCAAACATCTACCAAGCTATGATTTTTACTGAAGTCCGTTCTATTCTTTACTGTCCTGTTAATTCAAACTATTTAGGACAACTGTCGACTTGATCTCAAGATATATAATTATACTTTTTACTCATGAACACATCTCCATAGTTACACCTGTAAATCTACAAGAAGCTCCTATTGATCGCTCTAACAACTGAAGTGCCAACCGTTTTGGTAAGACCAACATCCAACTACCTCGATTTTATGTTATGCGTGATTGGGCTGTGGCCTAAGGGTAATACTTCGATCCATCTGCATCTGTTTAGACAACTGGGTAATATCTTAAGCCCTCAAATTTAGAGTATGGTTCAAAATACCGGAATTCTTATCTAGTTGACCAGTTGGTAATTATCTCTACTCACAGGTTTCGGGGACATAATGTACAATTTTTTTTCGGTACACATTCACAATATTTCGAACTTGATGAAATAATGATCAAGATTTTCGTTTGTCATTTCCAGGTATTTGCTCATTTTGAAAACTCCAAATCATCACATTCTGAAGTAAGTGTTCATGTTCATTATTTATTTTTGACTTTAATCAATAAACTAGGGAATTGGACCTAATTATTTCACAAGTAAGCTGATATATTAGTTCTGAGATTACTGGAAAAGATAATTTTACTTTTCTATATACCGGAATATCGTTGAAAAATATCAACATAAAAAAAAGGGAGGAGGTTTTTTTTCATTGTTTATTTCTGTTACTAAGGTAATTGAAGGTCAGTCACAGACTATTTTCTAATACAGATGGTTATATTTTAACGAATTACTGAATGCGTAAGCCACAAAATATATAGCGCACACATTTGAAGTAACCAGTTATCCATAAGTTATGTAGAACTTAGCACTATGTTTTTGGTGGAGTTTTGTTCTCTGAGCTGGATGGTTTGGTCGTGGAGCTTTCATCGTTCTTCTGAACGACATCATCAGCACAAACTTCAGATAGCACTATGTTCATCGGTTCGAGTTGTCGTATCCCAAAATAGTAGTACTAACATTTGAAGTGATAGTAGAAAAGCCTAATCATAGTATGATTTAAGAAGAAAGAATAAATTTATAAAGTATGAAATATAGTACCATCTTGAAAGTTGAGATCTAGGACAACCAAAAACTATATGCCCACTTACATCATTGTCACCGATTCTGTGATATATCACCCAGCAATACCATATTCACGCAAACTCTAACCAGGCAGTCTGCACCTACCTACACATCTCAATCTAAATAGATAGTCAGGTTATCTACTCGACTGTCTTATGCTTAATGGATCAGTAACTTTATAATTAGAATACTCAACTTTTAATTAATAAGTGGTAGACTCAACAATTACCTAGTTCGGTTTATGGGGACCTGATATTATCATTAGTCCCCTTACGAACAATGTAGTTCATACCTTATTGCCTAATTGTGTATTTGATGTGTTACATGTAATAGCGATCAGAATCCTGAAATTTGAATTTCTCATCAAAGGAAGAAGTCAGTAGGTTGACCGTGTTTAATGGGCTTGGTGACAGAAGTAAAAATATGTGGATAGACTTTTTTCCTTGTTTAATCTCTGACTACAGTTCAACCTGGTCAATTGGAAATTTTCATCTTCAATATTGCAGTACTACAATTCTCTAGTTATTTCTAAAACGGTTTTAATTTACATTTACCTGATAAACAACATGTAATTTATGACGTATGTTTTTATCATTATTATTGTTGATTATTTAATTTCACTGATTGAAATCACGAGTCAATTGAAGCTAGACCACCGTTGGAAACCTGAAGCAACTGGACGGCCGTTTCATCATAGTATGGGACTCCTCAGCAGTGCGCATCCACGATCCCGCACCCCGCGAGATCCGAATCCAGGACCTATCAGTCTCGCGCCAGGCGCTTAACCAACTAGACCACTGAGCCGACATCCAACGGTGCTTCCAGGTTTTCCATGGTTGTCTAGCTTCAATTGACTCATGATTTCAACTTGTGAAATTTCTAAAAAATCTCCACAAAACCCCTTCTGATTATTTAATTGTCTACAGGTTGATAGAAATCAACGAAAAATCAAAAGAATCTCTACAAACAAACAATTATTGAATTCTAAACAATCAAAATTAGATCATTTCTTTCATTAGGGTGAGATTATTTTTGTTTCAGATAAATGAACAATCAAAATGGTAAAGAAATTCTCTTTACCTAATGTCTACCAGTAATAAGAATTGTTATCCATTGTATATATTACTATATTATTCCTTTTATTCCCGATTACCCTATATTCCATACAATTTACTAATGATTCTATTTTTGCCTAGATAGAATAGTTTCTTATTTTTATATAAATTTTAAAAAATCTATTTGAGTTTTTGATGAGACTTATCATTTATGGACGACTTTTGAGAGAGCGATGCTAGACTGACCTTGAGAGTGTTCACTTAATAGTCAGGACTAAATGAGAGTTATGAACTTGTGTGAGAAATTAAGCTTAGGAATTAGATTTCGGGTTTTATCACGAATTGACATCAACCATAATGTCAAAACTCTAGATGATGGTTGGAGGTAGTCGACAGGAAAGCTAGGACCTGGGTTTCGTGCTACTTGGCACTCGTCAGCAAGGTGTTGTACCTGTAATTTTGGGGGACCGGTGCTCCCAGCTTCACAGTTAAAGACGTTACCACTGAGCTATCCGAGCCGCGACCGACTTCCTGTAGGACTGAGATGTAATCACAATTGATTGATCACTGGGTGGTGATTGGTTCGTTCATAAAATTTTAGTCTCACCTAGTTGTTGTTTTTTCTCTCTCTGAATTGTTTCTCATGTGACTACATTTGGTACAATTTTATCTTATCAGAAACAAGTTTTTATTCAAAAAAAAATAAACAGAACATTTAGTAGTTAGTTATTTTAATAAATCAAATCTAAATTCATGTGACTTTACAAACTATGATTTCTATAATAATCAATATAGTTAATAGTAGAATGCAGAATCCACGCTTTATCCAACTGGATGTAATTCAAATAACAAGGTTGATATTTCTTGCGGGATTCGAACCTAGTGTCGTTTGTTTCAAGTGGCAAATGAATCAATAGTTCATAAGTTTTTACTAATATATTATTCTAACCATAATTATAAGATCCACATCAATATTTCAGGGGAATAACACATATAAGAAGAACTATGACAATCTCCACAAAACCCCTTCTGATACTAATTAACATATGCTCACTAGTGACTGACTTCAAGAGATATATCCTGGAGTTCTAGTGAGAAGCAGTGAACAGTGGAGTTCAACCGGGTCAGCTTTAAGGTAGTAACTCACTGATGACAATGGTGGATGTGTCGCTCAATTTCGTGGATTAGTTGAAGTTAGACATTAACACCAATGGATGCCGGTTCAGTGGTCTAGTCGGTTAAGTGCCTAGCGCGAAATTGATAGGTCCTGGGTTCGAATCCCGGGGTGCGGGATCGTGGATGTGCACTTCTGAGGAGTCGCACAATAGAACGAAACGGCCGTCCAGTGCTTTCAGGTTTCCCATGGTGGTCTAGCTTCAATTGACTCATGATCTGAACTATTGAAATTACTACAATCTCCACAAAACCCCTTCTGATACATATTTATACATTTAATGAATGAATATTATATATATTATAGGATGATTTTAGATGGGAATTTTGATATGTGGGTGAGAATGATGATGATTGGTTGTCTGCCTAGTCGGTCATGTAGATAGTCTGATAGGTGTGTCAGATGAGTTATTATTATTACTCCCTTATTATTGATTGTCGGGTTGTTGGTGGTGTGGAAATATATTTGCGTTGTGGTCAAGCTAATCACATGTTCTTGATCTGAGTTGTGTTAATGTACTGGGAGGGAATCTAGTATAGATATTCGTTTAAGGTAAATTAACTTCCTATAAGTGTAAACGTGGAAACCCAACTGTTATAACATTAGACGAAGTAAAACACGAGCGTTGTAACAATTTCATTTCAAGTGCTAATTTTCACGTTATTTACGTTTCTCATCTAATAATTTATGATGTACTATAGTGTCATGTTCACAGAAGTCGTGCATAGACGGCTCATGAAATCATCAATAAAAATTACGCTAATAGACAAAATTAATGGAATATTACTGAATACTTCATTTTTATTGAACATTGATGAAGGATGGTTCTTACATTTGTAAAACGATCAAGTTGTAAAGAAAAAGGAGAATGCAATATCCACAAAACAACTAAGGGTATAGTGTTTGAAGATACATGATTCGTCAATTATTTATTCACCAGACATTTACAACAAAGTTATCGATTTTGTGCTTCAGAGATTCATGCAAAATACACATAGATGATACTATTTCAGAGTACGCTATTGTTATTGATATATTTATTATGACAGTTATCAATCTTTTGAGCATAGAGTAATGTTAGAAGAACTGTAAGCGATGAGTGATGTGATTGGCAATTGAATGTGCATTATTAATGTGCCATTTGTTCCAAATTATTGATTTTTACTCTGCACTCAGTGAGCGTAGATTGACTTGTCGTTGTGTTGAATAATGTATCGCCTATTCTATATTATGGTACTCTGTTTTCTGTCGTTACTCGTGTATCCAGTGTAACGTGTCCCAGTCTGTCATATCACTAGAGTACCTAGTCTAGTAGTAGTATATTCTCGGCCACTGGCCGTATAATGTAACTGAGAAATATTTGGATTTCCCCGTCATGTCAATACTTATGCATTTGTACAGCGTTATGAACGTTCTGAAATAATAGACAAAACAACAGTTTACTCTCAGTATTTCCTTAATAGGAAGACTGGAACGTTAAGTTTGAGAATGAGTAGTGTAAACACGAACAATTTCAGTCCCGTTACAGGATACTTGAAATCATATACAACTAGAAAAACGGAAGCACAGATCAATAACAGCAAGGATCACTGATAGGTCTGTTGTCATATTCGTGCTAGATTATTCTTTACCGTATTTATTCATGTGGATTTTTACTTCAATTAACCATTCAAACATATTATGCTAACCAGAACACATAGGAAGGTACATTCACGGTGATTGTTGATTACAAATGATCACATATTTGATCATAACGATGGAACTGCGTTTGTAGCGATGTAGTTGGAAGATGTTACAACATGTTCCCGAATTAGTCACTCCATTTTATAACCAACAATCTGTATAATTCAAGATTAGTCTCTTTAAATATCATTTCCAAAGTTCTACAATCTTATCTATGGTGGTTCGATAAATATCTTGGAATGTGGTGAAAATGAGAGTATGTCATAAAGTGTTCGGAGATTTCAAGCATCACAAAGAAAGTTTCGTGTTGATGAATCTGGAGGTTGAAAAAGAAAAAGTTGTAAATCATTTACAATTGCAAAGTACAAGAGATAATTGTCCAGATATGAATAATTATTATTAAAAGTTAAAACAGTTTAGCGACAACTGAGTACCGAATAAAAAGAAACTAGTAGGGATTTTTTAGGGCTGAATAAGAATTAGGGATTGCGCGTTAAGTTCATGCTTATATTTCCGAATTTCAAAAGCCTCAATGGTGCGCACGTTTTTGCTTCAACTTCCTTTTGATCCCAGCTGTTCGACTGTCCAGATTTCGAAAAATAATTCCAGTGTGATTACGTGATAAGAGTCAATTAAATGATCCATATTTTACCACACTAAGTATTGTCCTAAGACGCATCAAATCACTATGGTCACTATAGTGGACCTTCTGTAATTGATATCATTGGAAATAAAGTTCTTTCCACTGAACTGTCTTTATATTTTTTCCAATCAAACATTGAGTTTCCTTCGTTATCCACTGTCGTTGGTTATGTACAGAAACCAAGATTTCACCTTATTAAATCCTGACTGAATTAGTTCTGTAAGATAGTTTTTACCACAAAAGAGGAACATGGTAATTGTTGTAATCCTTAAAGTAAATTCATAAGAATATGCTATAAAGTTGAAAAATTCTCTGTGAAAATAGTACTGATTAAATGATTGGATTTCAGAGGTGAGAATGCTTCATCAGATCGAAGACAGGAAGCACGGGATTAAGATGACTTAGAACTATATGCCCATCTATCATTTCCTGAATTGATCGACTCTAAACATCTGTCATATCAAATTACTCAGCACAGTGGTCGCATTGTAATTTTGAGCTTGTGATTAGAACAGCCATTAACATGACTTGGACATCAAATAAGTGGTCAGCTAGTGTGAAGTTGATCGATAGAATTAGATCAATATAAGGATCAGAGATGTATATGAATGGGTTCAAGTTACTACATTATATGGACAAAGCAATTTGGAATTATCACGACAAATATCAGAGTAAAGGAAGCAATGTCAGTGATGTTAGAAAAGATTAGATAAGAAAAGATGAATTCTTAGCATATAAAGTATGAAATAATTATAAAACTCAAGATCTATGAGAAAACAAAGATTTAATATATCTGTTCTATGGCTGTCAACTCAGCCATGTCATCCAAAGTTTCTTGGATGCCCACTGCTGAGGTGTCTCATCATGAGACGTCACAACTCTTCTAAATGAAAACCTAACTTTCAGGGCAGAGTTTAAATGATAAAATATAACTGATAGCATTAATATTGAAATTAGTCCTATGAAATTCGACTGATTGATAGATCAATGGTTAATAAACAGCTTTAAAGTACTTACTTACTTACAGTGCAACTCCTTGTGTCTGTAGAGCATTTTCTTCTTCATGACCGGAGTATAACAGTAGCTCTCCTGAACCTAGTCTTTGTTGTCCAGCCTGCGTCAAATGTGTTTCACTGATTCCAAGCCCATCCAAGTTGTATCTTTTCATTTCTGCAGCAACTTGGATGACTCTCCCAATCTCCCATATTGTACAAATATTCCATTTGCCTAAATTAATGGTTGCTCTGGTTGTCATGAGACGTCATATCTCTTCTAAATGAAGACCTTCCAACTCTTAGAACACAGTTTAAATGGTCTGAATTATTTTTTCTGGTTAGCGATTTTTTAACGAACTACATAGATGAGGTCGCTTACCCTATGTCTAATCCTCCTCCTTTATCTGAGCTTGGGACCGTCAGTATCCCCAGAGGGGCTTCAAACGGAATTACCTAAGCCTATTATCCCTCATGGAGGAGCACAAGCCTCTCATCAGTATTCTCCATCGAAGTCTAACGTAATTAATTATCAACAACAATAATAATCATTATTGTGGTTCTTTTTCATTGATCACATTATTCTTATGAATTTTTCTTAATAGATGAGTGTTACGTTCTTGATCTGTCTATCCACTTGTCTAATCTAGATTAAGACCTTGACGCGATAGGCTGACCGGCTTAATGTTGAGGCTAGTACAAATGAGTCTGAAGTGGGGTAGAGAGAAGGAAACTATTCTATCATCTGATTAACTGACAATCACACAATTGAGAGAAGACAAGTCAACTGGAACACTATTCGATTTATCCTCAATTCCTATCTGATTCCTGATTTCCGATCAGTGTAAAAAGATACATGAATAAATAAATGACTAACCAGACCATAAAGTACAATAATTAGGAAAATAGAATTATGTTCAGAACTGGGAATTAGAGTAGAAAAATAGAGTACAAAAGATTACATTTAAATTACAATAGCTTTGGAACACAGAAGGCTACGACAGTGAATCATACATCAAACGAAAGCTTATGCTTTGTAGATTAGATTAAGGATAAGAATAAATGTTAATGTTTTACAAGCTTTGAATGAAGTAAAATAACGTCCCCCCCCAAAAAAACACAGTTCCTGTAGTTTGTCAAGACTTCTTGTTTCTCTGTTCATATCAATTAGTAGAGAAGAAGAAATAATTGATTTCCCAATAATTAAATAACTATATAAATATATCCATTAATAATTGGAATAGTTTGATTTTAATTACATGATCATTTGAACCAATAATTGAATAGAAAAATAATTAACCAATGAAAAATTGTCTATATATATTCATTAACCAATAGAATTCTAGTTTAATTTAAGGTCAAATAAGCGGGCATATCAACTGTTAATTTATATAAATGAATTAGATTTAAAGGAAGTTAAACTAAAACTATTCAATTGTGATTCAATTCATTTAAAATAATAATAATAATGAATAGAAGACCATCAGGATTTTCAAAACCTCCAATAATTGGTTCAAGATCTGTTCTAATCGCTGTTGATGGTTCTGAACATTCAAAAAAAGCATTTCAACATTATTTAAAATGGTTACAAAGACCAGATGATACAATAACAATTTATCATGCTGTAGAACCTGTATCATTACCAACTATATCATTATCGAATCCAATTAGTATACCAAGTGATGAATGGTCAAATATTGTTGAAGTCAATGTAAAACGTGTACGTGAATTAGAACAAGATTATAGTACAGATTGTTTAGCACATAATTTAACATATCAATTTTTATATGAATCAGTCAATCATATTGGTGAATCAATTATTAAAAAAGCGAACAAATGAATGCATGTTTAATTATTATTGGTAGTCGTGGATTAGGTGCAATAAAACGTACCATTATGGGTAGTGTTAGTGATTATGTTGTACATCATGCTAATACAACAATTTGTGTTGTACCATGGATTGATGATACTTCACAAAATACATCATAATTCATTAAATTGTTTCACCATAATCAAATATTTAGTAAAGATAGATAAATATATATGTATACATATATTACGTAATCAACATGTATATGATATAAGGGTTTGTTATATTCTCTCTGTGTGTATGTGTGTGTAACTCATCGATTTCTTTTTGTCATGGAAACTATTTTAAATTGAATTTTTGTTTTGTAGAAACTACAATTTAGTTGTTTTTTCATTTTGTTTCTATGTCATATAGTTACGTATATATATACATACAAATTTCTTTATATTTGCGCCATAACATTCTGATTACATTTTGGAATAGTGATTCTATTCTTATTAAGTTATACTTTTCTTTTCCATAAAAGAATTATACATAAATAAAAAGTGAGAGTGAGCAAAAGGGACAGAGGGAAAGATTGAAATATTCGATGGAAAACATTTTTATTATTTACTACTTTTTCTACTCATTTCACTGTTATCATTTGAATTTTCACTTAACACAAGTAAATATAATTAGTAGAACATCATTAATTAGACTTTTCTGTTTTACAATGTTAGGTGAGCCCATTTCTATTAAAAAATCGATATTTAGTAGTTAGACATGTTGTTACTAGATCAGTCAGTCAGTAACAACGTAGAACTTCGTACGTACGCACGTACGTTCATCAGTTCGAGTTACCATACCACATTAGCACAAAGATTCAGTTGTCAATTCAAATCCCGTGGTGGTAGAGATAGTAAAAGTATTAGCAGTAATCGGAAAGATTAGGGCTTGAAGATATTATTCAAGGAGTATAATCCAGTGGAATAAATTTGGAAAGAGAAAAAAGAAAGGGACGTGAAGAATTCAGAAGATTAGAATTCGAGAGAACACAAAGAGTGTATGCACCTGCACCATTGCAAACGATTTTAAGCCATGTCATTTTACCAGATGATTTAGCTTAATGTTGAATTTATTTATGATTATCTGAAATCGATGATTTAATATGCATTGATGAAGAATAATCGATTCTGTATTAGATAATCTTTAGTGTGAATCAATTAGTTCATTATTCCACCACCACCAACAACAACGGTGTACTACAATGTCAAATCAGAAGGAATCGATTGTGTTCCAAATAGTTCACTTGTCATATTTTTAATAATAAAATGTATTTGAATTTTACGATGACTTTATACTCCTTTAACAATTTACATGGAGAATTTAAATTTCACCTTATTGCATAAGCAAATGACTATCAGGATTCAGTAGTTAAGTGGATAATGTGATGGCGTTTGGAGCGAACGATACTGGGTATGAGTTCTAGAGTGAACGTCAACTCTGAGATGCAGATATATCCGATTGACGAGTCCTGAATAAGACGAAACGCGCATCAAATTGAATTCCACTACTAGCCACTATCCATCTTTACTTAGAATGCTTGTAAATTAAGACAATATCGAGGCAATACGCACAGTATGCACATGTGCCAATAAGTGACTGAGGAATTACAGTCCTAAACATCAATGGGAAGATTCAAGTAAAACAATATCAAGGTGAATTTAAGGTGTAGTTTTCCTGTTACTTTCATTTAACTATCTAATATCAAACGAAACTGGACCATTATGTTAAGTCATTTAGACTAAACTTCATTTGGGAGCTTAGTGAACAGAATTATATTAACACTCTAAAAGATTAGAAATTATAATATTGATTACCCAAACAGTTATGGATTATTGTAAATTTTCCTTCTTGGTATCAAAACAACATTTATGAGTGAACAATATTCTTTCTAGTCACATTGTTGTTAGACTGCATTCTAACATTAAATAAGCATTTGTGTAAAATATTGAATTAGTATGTACCATGCTACCAGATAACATACTCAACGAATAAGCTATAACCTCTTTTCATGATTTGGCAAGAATTTGAGGAGATCTCTATATGACTCCATTCAATCATATTGTGATGTGTGCTACTGATGTCAACAGATATAACTAGTATGTATCATCAATCGAAAGTGAAATGCCTGGTGGCAGAAGGTTAAGAACATCGAAGAAAAGAGAATGATTGCTGTAGTAATGATGAAACAGTGAAGTCTGAGATGATTGATTAACATTTTGCAAATGACATAGTTGGGTACATTCCCCAATGTGTGTCCTATCCACTTCGAGAGATTCTTCCTGATTTCTTTCTTCTCTAGGATCTGGTTTGTTCTCTCACACAATAGGTTGTTGATGATAGTGTCTGGCCAACAGATCCCAAGTATTTTGCATAGACAACTGTTAATAAACATTTGTATGTTCTGAATGATTGCTTTCGTAGTTCTCTAAGTTTTCGCCCCAGTAGACAGTAAAACCATCTTGACATTTGAATTGAGAATTGTTACCTTGGTGTTAGTTGAGAGTTGTTTCGAGTTCCAGATGTTCTTCAATTGTAGATATACTGTTCTGATCAGTATTCGTAATATTTACTACTATATCTTTTATCTTACTATTAGTTTGTACTTCTTACTCATTACATAATCCTTTCTCTATTGTTATTCCTAACCTCATAAACTAACTAAGCTACTTGAATAGTTTGCAGACATAATATTTGAATATTACTATATATTAGATTATAACATAATGAGGCATTAATTGAATGCTTACTTACTTACTTACTCACTTACTTACGCCTGTTACTCCCAATGGAGCATAGGCCGCTGACCAGCATTCTCCAACCCACTCTGTCCTCCGCCTTCTTTTCTAATTCCATCCAATTCTTGTTCATTTTTCTCATGTCTATCTCCATTTCTCGGCGTAATGTGTTCTTTGGTCTTCCTCTTTTCCTTTGACCTTCAGGATTCCATGTGAGGGCTTGTCTTGTGACTCAGTTCGCTGCTTTCCTCAATGTGTGTCCTATCCACTTCCAGCGCTTCTTCCTGATTTCTTCCTCCACTGGGATCTGGTTTGTTCTCTCCCACAGTACGTTGTTGCTAATAGTGTCCGGCCAACGGATCTGAAGTATTTTGCGTAGACAATTGTTAATAAACACCTGTATTTTCTGGATGATGGTTTTTTTTTTTTTTTTTTTTTTTTTTTTTTTCACCAGAACTGTCTTGACATTTGTATTGAAAATCCTGACCTTGGTGTTGGTTGACAGTTGCTTGGAGCTCCAGATGTTCCTCAGTTGTAAATATGCTGCTCTTGCTTTACCGATCCGCGCCTTCACATCTGCATCAGATCCACCCTGTTCGTCAATGATGCTGCCCAAATACGTAAAGGTTTTTACATCTTCCAAATCTTCTCCGTCAATTGTGATTGGATTGTTGAATTCTGTGTTGTATCGGAGAATCCTGCTTTTCCCTTTGTGTATATTGAGACCTACTGCTGCTAAGACTGCTGCCACACTGGTCGTCTTCTCCTGCATCTGTTGTTGCGTTTGGGATAGAAGGGCCAGATCGTCTGCGAAGTCTAGATCATCCAACTGCATCTTAGATGTCCATTGTATCCCGCGCTTCCCTTCAGACGTTGACGTCTTCATGATCCAGTCGATCACCAGGAGGAATGCATTTGTTAAATATCTGTATTTATGGTTAGAATGGAGATGAAAATACTTTTATATTTATATTATACTCATTAAAATTCTATATCAAAAAGGAAGATAGCTTAATCTCTAATATTAAGTAATTAATGTAAATAAAAAAGTAGGTAAGTAGATGTTGATCTTACTAACTTACGCCTGTTACTCCTCGTGTAAGAGCATAGGCCACCCAACTCTATCTTCGGCAAACCTTTCCAGATCTTTCCAGTTGTTATTCATCCTTTTCATATCTGATTCTACTTCTCGACGTAATGTGTTCTTTGACCTTTCTTTTTTCCGTTTCCATTCAGGATTCCAAGTTAGGGCTTGCCTCGTGATGCAGTTTGCTGATTTCCATTATGTATATTCTATCGATTTCCATCGTCTTTTCCTAATTTCCTCTTCAGTTGGAAGTTGGTTTGTCCTCTCCCACAGTAGTTTTTTGCTGATGGTATCCGGCCAATGAATGTTGGGTATCTTGTGTAGACAACTATTTATAAATACTTGTACCTTTTTGATGATGGTTGTTGTAGTTTTCCAAGTTTCAGCTCCATACAGTAGAACTGCCTTGACGTTCGTATTGAAGATCCTGACTTTGATATTGGTTGACAATATCTATTATCCTCAAATATGTATGATATAACTGTTTAACTTAAGTAATCTACGTTGAAATTACATTATATGAATGATTGGTTGGATCGATCTATTGTAATCTGATAGCTAGACTATTCATCATTCATAGAATACTTGAAAGCATCAAGAATCTCATTGTGAAAAGATTTATTCAGTAAGAGCAATTCATGAGAGTTCATATAGATAAACTGAAACTTCATTTTTGATTGAGATCATGAAACAATTGATGTTAGACCACCTTTGGAAACCTGGAAGCACTGGACGGCCGTTTCGTCCTATTATGGGACTCCTCAGTAGCGCGCACCCACCATCCCGCTCGCGCGCGAGCGCTTAACCTACTGGACCACTGAGCCGGCATCCAATGGTGATAGTGTCTAACATCAACCAATCCACGAAATTGCCTCACATGTCGAAACTATGTTATCAATTGGCTAATAAACGTTACTCACTGTTGACCTTAACGAAGTTCAGCAAATAATTCAATATTCGATAATCAGTTTTGTAAAGCCTAAATACATTCAACATTGTAAATGTTTTGTCTAAGGTTCAGTAATATTTTTTGACCCTACATGAATATATTATCGAATAAACAATCAATAGTAGTTCAACTTATCTTTATATATATATCTTTAGTTTTTTAAGATACTTTTTCAGGATATAAAGTTATATTCATTATCGAAAAGTTCCATTTT